GAAACAAATAACAAATAAATGTTATAAAATTCACAAGTGTATTATAAAATTGGTTTACAAATCAATATAAATCAAATAAATACAAAATTCGATGGCAGTACAATTACAATGGCGGGATGAATAAAGTAGCATTGGTAATAGCAATAAAGTCAGTGATAACAATATTCACCTAGCAACAACAGTGGTCAAGCTTCCAAAATAGGCCTCGGCTGGATACCTAGGGTGAAAACGTGATCTTCGCACAACCGCTAGTCGTGATGTAAAGTGAGAGGAGAGAGGCACGCTCTTGCTCACTTGTATCGTCGAAATTCCTTCTGGAAAGTTCAATACCATGTTTGATTAGTCTATAGGAGAAAACTGTTCTAGAAACATTGTAACCTGAGCTCTCGTGGGCCTGAACACTCACTGGCTTCCGTGGATTGATTCGTTGGTTTAATCTGTTGACAACACCACGGTGTGTATTCACGGGTGATCGAGGAATGCAATGGATACACACCCGCGACGTTTTGGCGATGGAAATCCTTTAGTTTTGTGGCTCTTAAACTTTAAGGTCAATGGAAAGTTGATTTAGTGTGGTAAAATAGCAACCCCAGAGAACGATGATGATGCAAATATGATAAACTACGGGTTATAATCGAGGTGTTATGAAATTCGAATTTGTGAACATAATGATATGCTCCATGTTTGCTGTGAACATACGTATTTTTCACGATGATAATGACAATAATAATTAATATTCGATCATGTACTCATATAACACTTTAATTTCAGTAATTATTGTGGAAGTAATTTTGTACTAATGACAGCTGAAGGAAAATAATAAAGATGACTTTTTAAGGATCGTGATAATATTCCAGTGATTCTTTAAGTTTTGATTGCCCATCACGGAAATTAAATTTCAAACAGAGACAATGCAGTCTTGATGAATCTGGTTAATCAAATACAAACCTAAACAAAATGCAATTTCCTCCCCAAGGGTTTATATTGTATTTTTACGAAACTATTCATGTTAATATGTTTCCAAGTGGGTTGACCAAACAATGACTTTTTTGCAATTCAAATTAATTTCTTGTGTAATGCAAGCGTTAAATTCCAATCTCGCATGGACCCAATTTTGCGGCTTGAACGGAATCTGATCACAAATTTGGAATCTGTTTATAAGCTTTAAAATGCATTCCCCGTTCCTAGCATTCACTCAAACGAAATATTTCAGTTCTACGCTTTCGATTTAAGAACATGGTTCAAAAACGTCAACATGTTCCTTTCAAACACGGTGACATTTGCCTTTATGTCATATTACCTTGAACTGTCGAAGATTTTAAACCCGTTCATAAAGAACCCCTAGTAATCTGAATGTAATTAGTACGTTAGCATTATTGAAACAATTTCAAATAACAAATAATATAATGTATTTAATGTCCGTGTGTTTAATTAGACACATTCAAGATGAACTTTCGTTTTTTACATACACTCAACATTGAGACAGAGATAACAAAATAGAAAGAAAGTTGGATAGTAACCACATTCCTTTCTAAAAAATAAATTACTCATTACTGAAATAACACTCATCTAATCAGCACACATCGCTCCAAGCCATAATAAAACGCACTGAAGGATCCATGCTGCGCATGAGCGTAATTATGTACCAGATTAGTTGTCATATCGATCTTATAATGTAATACCCAAGGGGTTTAACAGTTTCGCATGGCAATGTGACTTTGTGCGTTACATGAGATTTAAGTCTTTACTTGTTAAATCTCCACGTATCACCTTGACATTACAGGATGAATGGAAGCGAACATGCCAAACGGTGGTCTTAGGTATAAATTGATTGACCTGTCAGAATGTCTGTTACTCTAATACTGAATGATACATTTGACTCCAGCTAGGCAATTGGAGAGCCCCCTGTGGTGCCCGTACCACGTACAATGACGACTAATTTGTTCTGTATAAGGGATTGGCTCACAATGCAGTGATTTCTCTGTGGTCATGAACAACCTCTGTTTTTGTGTGCCGAATGCATGTCCGTCACAACCGCTAACCATTATGACATACGTTCCTTGTGGAATGAATATAGGTAGCTAGCTTAACCCAAGGCCAAACAGGAGAACCATCCTTAATGACACGATCCATCGGTGACCGTGGGATAAGAACAACTGTCTCAGACAAAATCTTATGCACTGTATCCTTGAGAGAAATTGTTGTATTGACGAATTTTCAACGTGGTTGAATAACAATTCAGAGCCTTGTGTCTAGGGAGGTACTGCCTCACGGATTTATGTGGGAAAATTTGTAGTAATTTGGTAAGGTGGGGCTTTCTTAATGGTGCCAAGACTCAAAATTACGGAGCATGGATTCAACCATGTGTATTGATATAATCATGCAGGGACAGAACTGCAAGGTAAGCTGGCGGTTCCTTAATGATGTAGAGACTAAATCAGGCCCGTTCCAAATGCAATCGTATGCTGCGAGAATCTGTTAATAACTTTTTGCGAATGAGTTGATAGAAAAGGGGAACTCTATTTCGTTTTCTATGACAAATTATGCGGTTATCGATTCGTATTCTCATTTGTCGGAAGAAACATATGCGGAACTGCCCGCTATTTGCAAGAACTTTAGTACAATAAATAATAGCCTCCAAACATACATAATATTGCTTCGTGATACCACAGTCACTTCATGAATAACACATACGAAGGCTAATTTGAATAAAATCATAAAAAATGTCAAACGTTCCCGCCTGTTTAACTGGGCCTGTATTTCGGGCTGGCACCAAACCAGGAAATATTTCCTTAGCTGCCATGTTTCTGGAAGTGATTTACATATACAGTGTGCATTTGGCTCTTTTAAGAAGGAATACATGGCGATTTTATTGTCGTATGTATTATAATTGCAATACATTTCTTTAATCCTTAACATATGTTTCCATATTATTTGAATAGTTTAAGGTAAAGTAAAAGAAAGAGAAAAAGCAAACATTTAAAACAAAATAGATGCCTAACGAAATGCCCATCATTGCATACATGAAATAGTATATTTCTGTAGGAAGGTCATTAGGCTGTGTGCAAGGTCGTCGTTCAAATGCATTGTCAGGGTGACAAATGGACAAGTTATATGTATTTCAGCATTGCATTCATAATCGGGTGAGTTCGATTTAACGTATTTTTGTACAACATTACAGTTATATCATGAAGTGGCAGCTTAGGGAATCCTGCATGGTGCAGGTCTAAGACGTTTACCGTTAACATTTGTATTAACAGAACATTGCAAACCTTGTATGCTCTGTGACAACATTCCTTGTTGTCTTCTACCAATATTCACACTCAAAATAAGATCAACCACAAGAAACGTGAGTAGTCAATATGTAGGTTAATTACTGTTAAGAAATATTGAAGCCTTAAGCCAATAGGTCCATTCACGTCAATCCCGTGTCTCGGTTGTATACAACACTAAATAATTCCACATATAATTGGTGTACTAGTCAAGTGTACAACGCCAGAGAAAAAAACAGTCTCTAATATTCACCGAAATAGATTCCATTGGGTGAAAATTATATGAATGATAATATTGATTTTCTTGAACAATATAATTATCTTGGCATCATTATTGATTCGAAACTTACCTGGAATGCTAACGCGGGGCATATTTATAAAAAGGGCCATAAGCGATTGTATTTCTTACGGCTTCTTTGGTATTTTAAACTTGATAATACAATACTCTCAGTTTTATTGAACATTTATTCAAAGCATTTAGTTGTTTAACTTCTGGTATGGGAGCCTCTGTGTTCAATATAAATCTAAAATACATAAGATTTTACAGCAAGCAAATACTCAGGTACCCAATTTCGCCGAAATTTATGAGCAGCGAACTGTCAAAAAAGCTCGTAAGATACTAAATGACAGCAGTCATATACTTCATTCCGAATATCAGTTTCTATCTCCTGGCCGCCGACTGCGCATGCCGATGCTGAAAACAAACTCGGAAATCATTCAGACAGGCCAGTATTTGTCTTCTAAATATTTATCTGTTTAAAACGTTTTAACAGTTCGATGTACACAAATCTTCTCCTGTCATTATCCCTTTTATTAAAGTTTACTACTGCTGTGATATAAATACATATACTTTAAAATACCATCCCTTGTCGTCACTGGGGTAGTGTTCAATTTGCTACATGTTTTCACTCGTGGTTATAGTAGTAAGTGTCTTTATTTCTTATGTACATATTTTAATATCATATATATTTTATTCATATTTTAGTGATAATCAGCTGTGCAATATGAATTTCCCTTGGGATAACAAAGTCTTATCTTGTCTTATCCTATCTTATGGAGGTGACTATGCTTGTCGTAAAAGGCGACTAACGGGATCGGGTGGTCAGGCTCGCTGACTTGGTTGATGCATGTCATCGATCCCAATTGCGTGGATCGATGCTCATGATGTCAATCACTAGATTGTCTGGTTCAGACTCGATTATTTACAGACCGCCGTCATATAGCTGGAATACTGCTGAGTGCGGCGTTAAACAACAAACCAACCAACCCACTATCTTATGGATCAATGAAAATCAGTGATAATGCCAGAAAGGATTAAGCATGTCCTGTCCCAAAGCAACGACAAGCCCACCTAACCCTCTCAGAGTAACAAACAAAGATACATTTGAAGAATTATCGTTACGGTAGTATCTGGTAGTTTAATGTACTTTGATTATAACCCCATTCTCCAGGACTAAGAACGCGCTCATATTAGTAACTATTATGGAGAGAACGATTAAACCAAGCTTCGGGTTTAATCAGATAAATGAGGCGGGGATCAAGGTTAGGTCAAATCTCCCGGTGTCACTCCCAGCCAATGAAATAAGGGCTTGAAGCCCAATACATGTCATTCAACTGTCACGTGACTGACACTAATTGATTAGACAGTGCGATTGATAATTCTGTCCGGTCAGAATAGTTCTCACTCAGAATAACCAATCTCGAGTACAAACACTTCCACGCGACTCTCGTATCAACGGGAAGATAGAATCACAACCATTTAAACGTGTTTCTGTTGAGGATTCGATTCGAAGCACAGTTAACCTTACTGACAACCTTTAGATGAGATACACTCGGCGTGCAGCATTTTATGCTATCGTTTTTCCGTGTAGTGTGGCGAAGGGGTGAGTTTATCTACTGTAATATTAGTGTAATATATATCCGTTCTTATGAAACTGAATTATTGTAGCGTTGTCAGATATTCTTCTCTATATATGAGATGCTTTAACTAAGGATGCCATTCGTTTTCTTAACATAACCTTGTTACTATTCGTGGTAAGAATCGCTCTTTCTTCTAGAAGGTAAGAAGCACTCGTTCTTGTGATGAGGATCGGATGGTCACACTGGGTGACTGACTGTGACGTACTATATCAGTCAGTGACGTACTTTGTCAGTGACGTACTAAGTGACGTACTATATCATCAGTCAGGATGTACTTTGTCAGTGACGTACTAAGTGACGTACTATATCAGTCAGTGATGTACTAAGTGACGTACTATATCAGTCAGTGACGTACTTTGTCAGTGACGTACTAAGTGACGTACTATATCAGTCAGTGACGTACTTTGTCAGTGACGTACTAAGTGACGTACTATATCAGTCAGTGATGTACTATGTCAGTGACGTACTAAGTGACGTACTATATCAGCCAGTGATGTACTATGTCAGTAACGTACTATACGGCATGGACCCTTGCTAATATTGTCAGCCTACAGTTTGTTTGACCGTGACGTGTTTATTTATTGTCTGATGTAATAAGGAAGTTGTCCATAATACTCCTTGTCATGATGTCATAAAGTTGTAGTACTGCCGAATGTAGGCGTAACACTCTCCTACTCAACATAAATGTCATGTGTATCTCGTCTTCTGATTTTCAACCGATTGCATCTTTCCTCCAAAATATTTAAATAACTGTTGGATCACGATGAGATACATAGATCGTCGATGATGCCACCACGGGTTTGTGTCACCGTAAACCGACGACATGGATCGTTGCTCATGACATCATCCACTGGGATGCCGAGACGAGGTTCGGCATTTATCAGTCCGTACTATTGATTACTGTGGCGTCCATTCACTCCTCGTCATGTTAACGTAACGAACATTTGTAATTTAGACATAAACTAAAATGTACTTTTCATGTTTCAGAATCGATATTGCTTGACCCCAGGCGTGGCAATGACTTCATGACGTCACACAATTCTACCCTACCAATCGAAAGTTCGCCGACTGTGTCGCTGCTATGGCTGCCGTACGTTCTGATTGCCACTGTGTTTATCGTCTTCCTGGGAATCAACTTTTGGTGTTATCACAAACGGAATCGGGAACGTTACCTGAGGAAGAGGGACGAAAAAAGGGTAAAGGACGGTCTGTACGAAAGGCGACGCATAATTGCTCTGATGAGGGCTCAATTCCAGGTCAAACTCCCATCAGCCAATCAGGACATGTCTCCCAGAAGTCCTGGCGACCTTGGATTAGGGTTAGCGGAAGTTCAGAAAAGGGAGATAACTCTGGATCAGAATGGTTCGCTGCTCCGCCATAGCCTTCGAGAAAGCGTCGAGGACAGCTTTGACTATGCTGACGATATACATTCCAGTATTAACGATCTAGATGATCCTTTGTATGATCGATCCAGCCTCAAGAGAATTATGTTTGTGTCAAGTGTGTGTTCAACGGATATGAGCGGTGGTGGCAATGGTCAGAGTAATCTTTTGTCAAAACGAGGCATGTCCGGGGACAATGGGAGTGTTCACACAGTGTGTAAATAATAATTTCTTAAGCTACTAGTACATAATCCTGGATGAATACATTCCTTTTATGGAGACATATGCCAACATGAATGCGTTTTAATTGTCACAGGAGAACCATTGTCAAATCGAGTACAGTATTCAAAGAATTATAACTTGAAAACGGTACGTTTGACATGGAGACCAATGAATGGTTTCAAAGATACATGGACATAGCTTAACATACCCTTGATCAAGTGTGGAGGATGCGATATCGAAGCCATCATGGAGCATAAAATCTCTATTGGTGTTCATGTACAGTAAACTATGGTTATAACGAACTCAAAGGGACCATTAATTTTAGGTCGTAATAACCGTAGTTCGTTATAAGCATATATACAACATATATACAACAAATGGCCGGGACTTAAAAATAAGTTCGTTATATCGGTCAGTTCGTTATAAGCGTGTTTGTTATAAACGTAGTTTACTGTACGTGTAAATGTTCACCGAGTAAAATCCATTTTGGTATATGTGAATGTTGATGAAGGAAAAGCTGACCACAGAGTGCTCAAATATAATAGAAGGCCCTCTGGAGTCACATTCTTTCGTATTTGTTTTATTATTTAATATGTTTAAAAGGAACGTATTCCAAGCGAGGTAGAATTGGATTTACCCTTTTTTAAACGTATAGGCATTGTTCGGGTTAAACCTTCAAATGTACCGACATTAGAGGCGATTCGTCATTGTCATTTAATCCAGCTCAATTTCTGCGGAACCTTCTCTCGCCAAGACAAACCTATGTTTTCAAAGAAAGAACTTGAAACTGTGTTGAGAAACTTATTTTAAGTTTAAACCAAGCAAGAGAGAATAAATACAAAATCGATTTTCTCCCCACATATCTGAATTGGTTTATGCGAGAAATAACGTCTGTATATGCATAGAGACATGATTTGGACAAAGAGAAATATGATTTGTAATATGATTATGGCATGAACTTTATTCCACGAGTCACGTGGGAGAGTTATGTATCTGCAGTGAACGCAGTAATGTCGATTCCGGGCACATGTATTGTATATTCGTGGCACCACTTCAGTGAATAGTTATACTACTGCAAGTTTCGGTTAGAAAATACGCCGTGGTGTATCGATTACACATTCAACGGCGAACATACATGATGGGTTTATTGTGTATTGTATGAAGAATGAAATCCCCGAAGGAGGTCTGACTAAAAGATTTCGGCATTGTTTCTTCGACTATAGCTCCGAACTTATATACGAAACCTTTCCAGTTTTAGTAAGCGTACAATTAAACAAAGAGTGTTGATTAAAGTTTCTTGTAATGTGTTTTAGAATGAGAAAACAAATTTGTAAACCACCGAAACAATTGTCAACTTATCACGGAGGCTTTATGCTTCAGAGAGCAGTAAATGGTATTGTCAGTTTTGAACATTTCCGGTTGCCATATGCTTTAAAAATGTTACAGATAAACTTTATTTATTCGAAATTCATCACCTCTATTAAGGACTGACCATTTCATGTTTTGGGGTCTTTAGGGGGCTGGGATTTTCTCGGAAGAAAGAAATTGCCCCAGACAATGTTTGACAACCATACAACTTACGCTTCAGATGTTTAAAAAAAGAAAAGGTTTGCCATACATATTACATTGTCGCAATGTGTTTTTGCAAGAAAATATTTAGGCTCATAGTTCTGATTAAAACATATCTGGTTTTGTAACTGTAGCAGAAAAAATATCTCCATTCAAAATCACCCAGTCACCCCTTATCCTCGCCCTAAATTTCAAATGGTCTTTCCCTTAATTAAATGTGATATAATGATCCCAGTAGAATGCAGATGGCCCGCATGAAATTCGGGTTCAGGTCGCAAAATGCCAACACAAGTTTCCAAGCTCCAATATCCTCTAATTTACTTTGATCATACTATTTCAATTATAGATGACGTCATTATTACTAAATGATCATTGAATGATTTATCGCTCACCCCTAAAACAACTAACAAAGAATCGTTTACCCGGTATCAAGATAATGTTAAACAACTGTGTACTGATAGTGGATAGTGCTACGGCCTACGAGACAAGACTAATTTCGCGTCAGCCCAAAAGGTCATGTGTAACTTGGAGAATATTCACACGTAAATAGTCGTGGCAGAGTCAATTCCGTGCAAGTCGTGTCATTATAGCTCTTATGTTGTCACAGTGACATGCATGTAGCCGTAATGACAAATATGTTTTTCATCTCCCTGTCAATATCATTTTTCACCAAAGCTGTTTTTGAACACATTGCCCAGTACGACATCATGCAATCATGGTTATAAATATTGCATTAACGGTCCATAAAATCAGCACATTGTTTTTTTATTTAGATAACGGCTAAGCATGATTAAATCAAGTTTTGTTTTTACAACCCACGTGATTCAATTTTTAAATTATGTTCAACAAAATTGCCTGCATCCTAGGAGTGTATTTCATCGAGGCCCTAGCAAGTTGAATTCTTTTCCGCTGATTTCCCCCCAAACTTATACGAGGACGAATGTGGTTGGTATATTTGTAAAGTAAATTTGATTGATTTCAGATGCTGAGCAATTTCATTATGATTTCTATTTCGACATGGTCATAACTCATGTCCTGGAGAAGTGCAAAACAATAGACACTTCTCAGTTTAAATTTTAGTGTTTTTCTTCACCTTCGGATAAGTTTTAATCAGTTTATTAGTTTAATTAAAATAATGTACTTTACATAACGGACAACTGCGATACTGGTTTCCGTAAGAAACTGAACAACACTGAACTATGTTCAACAAAAGAACCAAACCAAAGCCTGCCGGGGAACCGGTGGCCTTGTGTTGCTTCCCGTAGCTGGTAATCCATTCGTCACCGCTCGCACCTTTCCTGGACCATGATCTGTCATATGTAATTTTCTAAAAGTATTTTAATATGCTACATAAATGTATGGATTAATGGGTGTTAAATAGTTCAGATTTCTAAGGGAAGTCATGCTTCATCATATATGCTTAATCACTACCCGTAAACGTGGAGCATTTCAAATCGGGCTCGATCAGTCGCTTTTCGAAGGTGTCTCAATAATAAACACTACAAAATAGTCTATACAATTTCCTAATAAACTAGAGATATGAACGCGGAGAATAACCAGTCTGAATTATCAAACGACACAGATTACATTGGACTAAAAAGTAAAAATAGCCGTGAAAATTGAATGAATGGATCAAACTTACATCAAACAGAATTCTGAAAATACTTCAAGTGACGTTTTGCTTCGGCTCTTTCAAATATAATTATATCATACCATTCGTCATGCATGTTCATATATCGCACCTATATTTACGAAATGAATAAGAATTTATATCACTTATTAGTGAAAGATGATATATTTGTTTGAAGCCATGCTATCACTGAAATAATGTATTTGAAGGCGATGGGGGTAGCCAAGTGGTTAAATCGTTCGCTCGTCATGCTGAAGGTGAGATTTCAACCCCCCCCCCCCCCCCCCCAACCCCAACCCCGACCACCCCACCCCCCCACCCCTGGCTACACTGTGTGAACCCCATATCTGGTATCCTCGGCTGTCGTATTGGTGGATTAGAGCTAAAAACGGGGTAAAATCATACTGAGTTAATACGATTTCTAAAACATATTTATATCATTCTGAAAGGTTGTTGTCAAATACGCTATTAATAGAAACAGAGATGGCCGACAAAACAAAACCTGACTCTGGCTAGCTTGCTGATAATGTATACAACTAAAGCAGGAAAACATGTGACAGTGTCGTATTAATTTCATGAAGTGAAACATATAATTGACTTTCGCATGGCTACATATTTTGTTATGATTATTATGAATGTACAGATACCTCGTGCCAAAATTCGGATAGTCGATGACGACAAAGAATTTGTATTATTATTGTATTTATTGTTCCATTGACTATTTTGCAACATAACCTGATATTAAACATTAACAACGAATGATATATCTAAGAGAACAGTACGTGGTTAAGTGTTAACTGCAAATAAACACATGCATCTGATTGTTTTATTAACATAACGTTGAGGTCGAACTTGTTACCTGACTAAATGCATCATCCAAATCTTAAATTGCTGACGTATGCACATTTTTGTAAATTTGACCGGATGGTGTATTGGCAGTTTGCATATGGTGACGTCATATGGAAACACACACGGAGTGTTATCCTCCATCATACAGGGTATTATATCTCCATTCTATAAATAAATACCCTGGTCCCATTCGCCACCATAGCTACGTTTCGGAAGTGACGTCACAATCTCCATCTCTCCATCTCTCCATCTCTCCATCTCCAACTAAGTACAGACTCTGGCTCGCGTGATTGGTTTCATTGGAGGGCTATAGTTAGCGTCGTATCATTCGAATTGGGCTCCAAATGACACGGTGGTAGCGAATGGTTACAGGGTATTCTTGCATGATACTCGAGAATGACGGAGTATGTGATCATGTCTTTCATCATGACTAGCCGGTATATCAGGGTTCAAAATAAGTAGAACTATCCATATTTACGTTTCATGCATAATGTCATGGAAATTATGTTTGGCTGTTTCTCGCCGTGTGTACGACTAGTTTCGAGGAGATCAATAATTTCCACCTTGTCCCCAGTACTTTGACCGGATTTTAACGGAATATTTATATGTCCTTGTCTGAACTCGTTGGGCTCTTCATAAACCTTGTAATATAGGTAGCGGTGTAAACCGAGTAGACTCGTGACATCATGGTAGATGCCAGGTTTAGGCAAATCCCGGCAGTCATTCTGAAACAATTTCACAATGAGAAACATTCTTTGCATGACCTCACATGGACCTTGGCACTTGCCTCAACAAATGTTTGATATCATATGCATGTCCTTTCTAACACTTATGTTAAGACACATTGTCAGACTATCTATCAGTCCTTGGTATTGGCAAATTCGCTTATTGTAAGACTATTGTGAGGTCATCATAGTATTGTCATGGCAACCAGTGGCGACATTTAACAATACTTGCGTGTATACCAACAATATAATGTGTCATGTGCTGGGCGAAATTCTGTGCATTTGTGGTGAGAGGTGTGCTTGAGTCTGTTGAAAATGTGTGTTTCGTCTTTCATGTTCCGTTGCTGTAAACATTAAAGTATATCTTGTACATGACGTACATTATCGTAAACATGACGTACAGTGTTTGGTGTACATGACGTACATCCCATAGTAATGATAATATACAGTATCGTATACATGACTGACATTACGTCATGCACATGGCGTACAGGATCGTACACATGACTGACATTACATCATGCACATGGCATACAGTATCGTATACATGACTGACATTACGTCGTGCACATGGCATACAGTATCGTATGCATGACTGACATTACGTCATGCACATGGCGTACAGGATCGTACACATGACTGACATTACATCATGCACATGGCATACAGTATCGTATACATGACTGACATTACGTCGTGCACATGGCATACAGTATCGTATGCATGACTGACATTACGTCATGCACATGGCGTACAGGATCGTACACATGACTGACATTACATCATGCACATGGCATACAGTATCGTATACATGACTGACATTACGTCGTGCACATGGCATACAGTATCGTATGCATGACTGACATTACGTCGTGCACATGACGTACAGTATCGTACACATGGCTGACATTACGTCATGCACATGGCATACAGTATCGTATGCATGACTGACATTACGTCGTGCACATGACGTACAGTATCGTACACACGGCTGACATTACGTCATGCACATGGCATACAGTATCGTATGCATGACTGACATTACGTCGTGCACATGACGTACAGTATCGTACACATGGCTGACATTACGTCATGCACATGGCATACAGTATCGTATACATGACTGACATTACGTCGTGAACATGACGTACAGTATCGTACACATGGCTGACATTACGTCATGCACATGGCATACAGTATCGTATGCATGACTGACATTACGTCGTGCACATGACTTAAATTATCGTATACATGACTGACATTACGTCATGCACATGGCATACAGTATCGTATGCATGACTGACATTACGTCGTGCACATGACGTACAGTATCGTACACATGACTGACATTACGTCATGCACATGGCATACAGTATCGTATACATGACTGACATTACGTCGTGAACATGACGTACAGTACCGTATACATGACTGACATTACATCAAGCAGAAGACGTACAGTATCGTACACATGACTGACATTACATCAAGCAGAAGACGTACAGTATCGTATACATGACTGACATTACGTCATGCACATGGCATACAGTATCGTAAACATGACTGACATTACATCAAGCACATGACGTACAGTATCGTACACATGGCTGACATTACGTCATGCACATGGCATACAGTATCGTACACATGACTAACATTACATCAAGCAGAAGACGTACAGTATCGTGTACATGACGTACAGTATCGTGTCCATGACGTACAGTATCGTGTACATGACTGACATTATGGCATGCACATGGCATACAGTATCGTGCACATGACTAACATTACATCATGCACATGACGTACAGTATCGTGTCCATGACTGGCATTACATCATGCACATGACGTACAGTATCGTGAACATGACTGATATTACATCATGCAGTATCGTGTACATGACTGACATTACATCCTACACATGACGTGCAGTATCGTGTACATGACTGACATTACATCATGCACATGACGTACAGTATCGTGAACATGACTGATATTACATCATGCAGTATCGTGTATATGACTGACATTACATCCTACACATGACGTTCAGTATCGTGTACATGACTGACATTACATCATGCACATGACGTTCAGTATCACGTACATGACTGACATTACATCATACACATGACGTACAGTATCATGTACATGACATACAGTATCGTGTACATGACTGACATTACATCATACACATGGCATACAGTATCATGTACATGACATACAGTATCGTGTACATGACTGACATTACATCATACACATGACGTTCAGCATCGTATACAAGACTGACATTACATCATGCACATGACGTACAGTATCGTGTACATGACGTTTAGTATCGTGTACATGACTGGCATTACATCATACACTTGACGTTCAGTATCGTGTACAAGACTGACATTACATCATGCACATGACGTACAATATCGTGAACATGACTGACATTACATCATGCACATGACGTACAGTATCGTGTAGAAGCCTGACATTACATCATACACATGATGTACAGTATCGTGTACATGACGTTTAGTATCGTGTACATGACTGGCATTACATCATACACATGACGTTCAGTATCGTGTACAAGACTGACATTACATCATGCACATGACGTACAGTATCGTGTACATGACTGACATTACATCATGCACATGACGTACAGTATCGTGTACAAGCCTGACATTACATCATACACATGATGTACAGTATCGTGTACATGACGTTTAGTATCGTGTACATGACTGACATTACATCATGCACATGACGTACAGTATCGTGTACATGACTGACATAACATCATGCACATGACATAAGTATCATGTACGACATACAGAATCGTGTACATGACATACAGTATCGTGCTCATGACATACAGTATTGTGTACATGACGTACAGTATCGTGTACATGACGTAATTACATATCGTACATGTGACGAACCCCGTGTACATGTCTCGACGTACATTAAAGCATGTACACGACGTTTGCGGTGATACTAAAATGCATTTGCGACGTTACGGAGCGGACACTTAACATTTCTTTTGACACAGTCTGGACAATACTGCTACAAGTTAAACACACTGATTTCAGATCTGGTGATTTTCTGCGGAAGACGTAACATCATGCACTTAAAACACTGAGAAAGAAAGCGGGGAAATGTTTTCATGTATGAACACATAACTTGTTTCCAATTCTGTTGGCGTTTAACATGTACTGTTTAAATTTGGTGTTCTGTGCGATACGTGCAATATGCTTGTGTGTCACGTGATATGGAAACTGCCATGTGTTTCGTGTGATGTATCATTTGTATAACGTGACATGCCAGTGAATCAGTTGAACTATCAGAAATCGATCAAATAATATATATCTCAATATATTTTCTACGATTAACTTACAAATTTGGAATATGTACTTAACATCTTAAGACAGTGTTTTGTAATCGTACGAGCAGCGTTGCATGTCCAAGCTATATGTAACTCTACAGATTATCAGATTGATCTTTCAAATACTCTATACCAGAAGAGGTCCATAGCTATAGCACAAACCATAGTTGGGAGTTACCTTTTACGGCAATTTCAGATTTGTTATATAACATCTTATAAAGTTTGATGACATCACGCCTACATCTGTATGAATCAGGAACAATGCTCCCACCCGCCATTG